AGGACACTACAAAGTGTGTCGATTGTGTCGGTGAGTTGTTTGGGGCATTCCATTGAGTTCAGGACTCTTTGAAATGCAAGGTTGGTCATTTCTGCATTTTTCCGTTTTTCGGGCCGGACGATCCCGTGTGGGACCCGCTACCGGAACTGTTGCTCACGGGGATTTTGTTTGGGTCCATTTCCATCATATTTATTTTATTTAATGTGTTATACATGGTTATGATTTAATGTACATATTTATGTATGGGTGTGGTGTAAAATGAAACTAAAAGAAAAAGGAAAAAAATAAAAAGAAAAGTGGTGGGACCCACCTTGCACATTTAAGAGAATTAGAGACCACAGTTTGGTCTCATTTTCTCAATTCTCTCTCTCACTCCCATAACCTTCTCTCTCACCCTCTCAAAGTCTCTTTTTCTTTTTCTTTTTCTTTTTCTTTTTACTTCCAAACTAGTTTAGATTTCTCCTTCAATACTAGTGTTTTTAAGTGCCGTTTGCAGCAAATTCAAGCCCACGACGAGATCTACGAGTTGATCGGAGCCAATCTCCATTTGACCACCATTTGAAGGATCACAAAATCCTAGGGTTTGAGGTGAAAATTGGGGGTTTTGCATAAAAATGAGGTAGGGGTCTCTAAATCACATTTTCTTGTTCCTTTGTGAGTTAATTTCCAGTAATTGTTGCTAATTTGTCTAATTGATGATAATTTACCCTAGGATGATTTTGTTGTAATGTCTAAAGTTCATGATTCTATATATACATGTTGACTTGTATGAAAAGCATGCTTAGATGTTGATTTCCTATGTCTAGTATGTTGTGAATTGTGCTAGAAATGAAGTATGTAATCATATATGTTTTTCCTTGAAAATTTTGGCAAAGAATGATTAACTAATTATTTGAAAATATCTTGTTTCCACGGTATTGAAGGCATGAGACATACATGCATGTCATGGGGTATGAAGGACGGAAAATGCTTTGAAATGAATAAAAAGGGGGTTTTGGGAAACTTATTTGAGAAAAGAATTTTTGGTGAAAAACCCGGACACCAAGGGGGTACTGAAGGTCCATGGCGTTAATGTAGCCTAGAGAGAACTAGGGAGATCGTCCTAGCGTGGTTGAGCCAACTGGGCCCAAATGACGCCGTGGGATTACCAAGGGTCAGGGATAGTGGCCAATCCTTCCTCGTGTCGCCAAGGGGGTACCGAGGGACGGGTTACGTTAACGGTTTGAAAGGTGAAGTTTTTGAAGTGAATTGAAAATGGGGAGTGACATGCATAGCACTGCATTCATTGCATGGAAAGTTGTTAGTTTTGAACTTAGAATTGATGTTGTATTTTCCCGGCTTAGCATGATCCCATTCCCTGTTGTTCTATTCTTTGTTTGGACTCACGGGGCTACAAGAGGTGTGCCTTAGGCACTACCTACTGAGCTTTATGCTCACCCTATCATTTAACATTTTTCAGGACCCGAGAAGGAAATAGTTGATACCGACCCATCTCAAGCATGAGGAAGACTTGAAGTTTATTTTTTTGTACCTTTTGTATATTTGCCATACCTTTGTAAAGGCACAAATCTTGTAAAGTGTATTGTTTCGCAAAACATGGTTATGCATTGTAATTTCAACCTTAATGGTATTTTGATGACACTTTGAAACTATGTAAATATTTCGTGATGAATGGTGAATGAAGTGTATTTTCAACCATTTTACGGTTGCCATTTAATTGTAATTTAGCCCATCTTGTTGCCGTGAATTCAGAAATAGGTTTGTGAAACAGGTTTAGGTGAGTCTTGCATGAAGTGAGCATAGTCAGTGGCCATTCCGGTGAGTTTCAGGGTTCAAGACCTTGTTTCGGCCGGCTGACCCTCACCATCAGCCGACCAAACCCCCATCGTCAGCCGACCGATGCTTGGAACAGTGAAAGTCTCGAGAGCAACTTTTTACCCCATTGTTTCAACCGACCGACCCTGTAGGTCAGCCGGCTGATCCTGCCTTGTCAGCCGGCCGATGAAGGGCTATCAGCCGGCTGGTCATTGTCTTTTGGCCTGTGATAGTTGATCCTTTCTACAAAGTTGTTTATGGAATGATTTGGATCCTTGGATGGACCTGTATGGTAGATGTGGACTTAGAAGAATAGCGGTATGACCTAGTTGACCTCGGGTTCGGGCAAGGACCCGGTAACGGTCCGGATCCACGGGTTCGGGTCGTTACATTATGTATGGTGGTCTTGCCTGCTTTTTTGCTAATAACGGGATTGTCCATCAAACCTCCTATGCCGATACACCGCAACATAACGGTGTAGCTGAAAGAAAACACCATCATATTATGGAGGTGACCCCGTTCTCTTCTAATTGGGATGGTAGTGCCTAAAAGTTATTGGGTTGATGCAACCTTAACAGGCTTAACAACTACATACCTTATCAATCGCATGTTTTTAAGGTTCTTGGCTATCAATCCCCCTTCCCTGTCTTACACCATCACACTGCCTTGTTTACTGTCCCTCCAAAAGTGTTTGGTTGTGTTTGTTATGTTCACATTCATCATCCTAAGGACAAAATGGTCCCTAAGGCAATCCGATGTGTCTTTCTTGGATACTCCGCCACTCAAAAAGGGTATCGATATTATAACCCTACCACTCGTCGTCTGTTTGTCTCCATGGATGTTACATTCTTTGAGTTTGTTACTTTTTTTTTTCCACTACTTGGGATTCTGTACAAGGGGAGACTACTATACATGTAGAGAATCCGTCGTCCATTTAGAGGGAATGCCCCCTTCCTTTGCCTGTTCCCATTCAGGGCCTGAGGTGCCTATGTCTAGTCCTCCTAAGTAATGATTTACATCAGGGAAAGCAACCAATTGTCTACACTAGGAGGGCAAAACAAGTACTCACCCCAGGACCAAGAAGTCTCCCTCGATCTAGGTAATTCCTCAGTTGACATTGATACTCCTAAGTCTTTTCCCAATAGCATTCATGTTGATCTTGATGTTCCTATTGCCTATCGTAAGGGTGTTCGGAGTTGTCCAAAACATCCCATATCCGATGATGCCTTATCTCCAACATATCGTGCTTTCACTTCGTGTAGCTCCTCTATTTTTATTCTTTCTAGTGTTTCAGATGCTCTCAGTCAAACTCCATGGAAGGAAGCCATGCTTGAAGAGATGAAGGCCCTTGAGAAGAATGGTACTTGGGACATTGTTCCATTACCTAGGGGTAAAAAACCAGTATACTGAAAATGGGTCTACACAATAAAGTATCATGCACACGAAACAATTGAGAGATATAAAGCCCGGTTAGTTGCAAAGGGCTTCACTCAAACCTATGGGAATAATTATAGGGAAACATTTGCTCCAGTTGCCAAGATAAGCTCTATACATGTCCTCCTTTTTGGCAGCTAATTTGAATTGGCCTTTACATCAGTTGTATGTAAAGAATGCTTTCCTTTATGGTGACTTGGAGGAAGAGGTGTATATGACTATGCCACCAGGGTTTAAGTTTGTCAATGGTCAAAATTTAGTGTGCAAACAAAATAAAGCATTGTATGGGTTAAAGCAGTAGCCAAGTGCTTGGTTTGAGAGGTTCATCACTGCTGTGAAAAGAGTAGGATACATACAAAGTCAGGAAGATCATATTCTCTTCATCAAGAAGCATCAGGCTGCACCATTGCCCTTATTATATATGTTGATGTATTGTTATCACTAGAAATGATCCAAAAGAAATTCATTAAATGAAGTCATTCTTGGGGACAAAGTTCAAGGTTAAAGACCTCGGATCATTTGAGACACTTTCTTGGCATTGAGGTGTGCATATTGAAGAAAGGGGTGTTCATTTCTCAACGGAAGTATGTGTTAGATTTGTTGGCTGAAACAGGCAGGCTTGGAGCTAGACCTTGATATTCCCATTGAGCGGAACCATAGGCTTAATAATGTGGATGGAGACCCATTAGATGACGTGGGAAGAATTCAGCGATTGGTTGGGAGACTGATTTACCTATCTCTCACGCGCCCAGATATTGCTTACGTTGTTAGTGTGATTAGTCAGTTTATGCATGCTCCACATACAACTTACCTTAAGGCAGCTCATCATGTTCTTCACTACCTCAAGGTTCACTTGGTAAGGGGATATTGTTTGGCCGACATAGCCACTTGCGTGTTGAAGCCTATACTGATGCTGATTGGGCAGGATCTGTGATAGATCGGCGATCTACTTCAACATATTGCACATTTGTCGGAGATAATATTGTTTCATGGCGAAGCAAGAAATAGTATGTAGTAGCTAGATCTAGTGCAGAGGCTGAGTTCAGATCCATGGCACATGGAGCTTGTGAGTTGTTATGGCTACGAACTATGTTAGGTGAGTTGGGTTATCCTATTCCCGAGTCAATGAAGTTATATTGTGACAACAAGGCTGCTATTAGCATTGCCCACAATCCAGTCCAACATGACAGGACAAAGCACATTGAAGTCGATCGACACTTCATGAAGGAAAAGCTTCTTCTTGGGCTAATTTGTATTCCATACGTCGACACACATGATCACATGATTAGGTTGCAGATGTTTTAACTGAGGGTGTGAGCAAAACTTGCTTGTAAAATATGTTAGTCAAGTTGGGCATGATATATAAGGTTGGGTGCTTATGTGTAATTTCTTAAACTTGTTAGTATAAATAGAATGTGGTGGAAGGATGAAAGTATTCTCTCTATCTTTCCCCATCTCTCTCTCTCTTTTTCTCTCCTCCACTGTCTTCTCTTTTTCTTCTTCTTCTTATACTTTACTCTTGATTTGATTCTCTCTTAAAGTCAACAGACCTATGATTGAGCTACCTTTTCGGCAAATTGATTATTTTATTTCTTAGGGAGATATGTGTGAAAAAATATACTCACCAATGCAAGCTTATAAAACTTTCAAAACACAAGCCACTAAGAACACACAGAGGTATCATTTAATTTAAACCAATGCTTGTAGGACTACTGTAGCACTACAAAAAAGAAGGTCATAAGAAAACTCACAGGGTCAGCATGGAAGAAACCATGAGACAGAATCTGTTCCAGGTATGATTCAACAGCATAGCGACCCAACCTAGGAAGCATAAAACCAACATTAAGTCCATTTTTGGGTCAGAGGAAATGTAACACATATATCTCAAGTTCTAAATATAAGAACTGAAGTTGCATCACACATGACCCTACCAAGATAAAGAGCAGACCATTACATTTACCTTTGGCGATCGACACCTAACTGATCTAAAGCTTGTATCCTGTTTATTTTTATTCCTGGGACATACTCCATTGTCAAAACCTACAATAAAAAATAAGACCTAATGAAACAAAGGAGATTACACAAGAAATCTAAATATTCCCTAGGCATCTTTCATGATAACTAAAAGGTACCTGTGGTGTGGTGTATTCCCAATTTATTGATGGGACCTTCACATAATCCATGTCTTTGAAGTTACTAGCAAACAGTTCTGCATTAGCGGCTTCCTTGGTATAATCAATCTCCTGAAGATATAGTAGAATTTGTTAGCCGCCAATAAACAAAAAGCTGTCAACTACAGAATCATTACAGTCAATACAATAAACTGAAACTTGATAATAATTTGCATGTGAAACGATGTTTAAGATAATTCAGACCCATTTGTGCATTACTTAGAACCAACTTGCTTCATTCAACTGGATTTCTGTCCAAATTCTTCAAGATCGTGTCATTCACCCAGTGATCTTGCTATAAATTATTGGTGTTAGGAACCACACCGAGGAAAAAGCTAATATTTCAACCAGATACCACGAAAGCAAGAAAGTTACACCCCAGATTATACAAAAGAAAGTAACCCATTGGCTGGAATCCTATCAGTCCAACAGTAACCTGCCAATATATCCTAACTTCGGTAAGCATAAAAAAGGAGTCCAGCCATTGGTAGTCGAAGTAGATTATAACTCAGAGAAGCCACCAAACCAATTACCAAGTAATAGCAGTCATCTATACAAATTCATCTTTCCTTAAATTTTTCTGCCTATCTGTTTTATCTAATCGTAAAAATTTGTCCATGACTTTCACATATTTCTTCAACCTCGGCGAACATTATCTGCTCTTCCTCTGTCTTTGTTGTGCAATCAAAATGATCTCAACTAACTTCCTCCCATCTTCTCCTCACTTGGCGGCTGGCGCTACCTCAAGCTCCGACAAGCATAAAAACGTAGTCCATCCAAGATAGTCAGACTAGATCATAACTCAGAGAAGCCACAGACCAAGTTACCAAGTGATAGCAGTCAGAACATATCATAACTCAGAGAAGCCACAAACCAAGTTACCAAGTAATAGCAGTCATCTCACATAATTCTTCAACCTCGGCCAACATTTTCTGCTCTTCCTCCATCTTTGTTGTGCAACCAAAATTATCTCGCAACTAACTTCCTTCCGTCTTCTCCTCACTTGGCGCTACCTCAAGCTTCTTTCATGCTCATAACATTAGTCACGTTATTCATGTGAGGAGGACTGCTCTCACATTTCGCACACAGATTTGTGATTTAAGAACGGATACGTCCTAAATCCACAGATTCTCTTTTTCTTTTATCTATTTTTTTTTATATATAATTGAAATCCACAGGTTCAATTTATTCAATTTGCGGATTCTAAGTTAACTCAGTTAAAACACATGATATCAAGTGTCTCCAACTCCAAGTGAATTCACTTATGACATGCTTATTTCACTTCCAAGTGTGTCTCAGCCATTCGGCACAGTTCATGTAGGGTCCAATATTTTTTCGGTAGGCAAGGACACGCAGATTCCAACACCTGGGTTCCAACTTGGTGCTGGAATATGTTATATTCTATAAATATAGAAAGAGAAAGTGGCTAACAAAAGTGAGGATTGAAGGATTGAACTCGCAACCTGATCGAGAATGTGGCAGGTAACCTGCCACTAAGCTAATTGTTTGGTTGTGAAAAGGTTAGCTTATTATTATTTATCTATGATATCCAGTTAATGGAATCAATATAATAAATAAATATATTTGCAAATAAACTTAAATAAATAACCAAAATTCCACAAAAATTATTCCATAAAGTAATATGATCACATAAAATATAGGAGTGTTACGTATAAATGCCAAAATACAGGCTCTCTCAAGATGCTCCTCTTAAAAAAATATTAGACTTTGGCACTTCACTCCTGCTCCCGTTTTGTGTGACTTGGTGCACAACTATGAAATCTATCAGTTCGTCTCACAATTCATTAATCATGATATCCTCATTTAATTTACACTCAACATTGCAGACACACTGCTCCTTACAGCAGAACTTCTCTTCACTAAATAAAACATGCCAGCCTCACATCACTCTTATGTGCCTCAAATCCATTTAGAGTTATAACACTCAAAATACTAATAAGCTGAATAAGAAAACCAAAGACATCATAAATCTTAGAGGCATTTAACTAATGTCAACTCATGAGTATTGTTAGAATGTGGCATCAAGAGAATTCCTTGCCTGATATAAGACACTTGCACACTCATCATAGATAGCAACCCAATCCCTTTTTGCACCATCTGACTTTGGATCAACCTTCTGAAGATATTCTGCTATTACCTGGAATAACCAAATGACCAAAGAATTAACCACGTCAAACTCGCTAGCCCCGTAATGCTAAAAGAATTTCATAAAAATTCCCAGCAATTACACAGCAATGGTACATTAGTTCAAGAACCATAAATCCAATTAAAAAAAAAAAAAGAATTTTTGAACTGTGCACGCTAACACAATTTTGCCTGACAAAAGTAATAACAGAAAAAATGATTCAGCAAGTTGGATCGGAAAGAAGACAACAACATAATGACATGATAACTTGAAGATCTTAAACATAGTATAAGGATTGAATAAATGAACATGGAGAATTTCGTCATATCTGAAAACTAACCCTGAGGTTTTTTAGATCAATATCAAAAAGACCCTTGAGACCAGGCCTTTGTACTTTGACAACAACTTCCTGCCCCTTCAATTTTGCACGGTGGACCTGACCTGCAAAGAAAATAAAAAGCATTTCTCTAATATTTCATGTCTTATTGGATTAAGTAACAGACACCAAGAACACTTGAGAGATAATTCATTTATAATTGAAAAAGTTCTCGATGCAGGGCTCTAAAATGTATCAGTCATACCGAGACTAGCAGCAGCTATTGGTTCATAGTCAAACCGATCAAATATATCATCCAAAGGTGCTCCAAGCTCTTCTTCAACTATAGATACAGCAGTATCTGATGGGAATGGTGGTACTTGGTCCTGCACAGAAACAGCGAGAATTGTTGACTTAGTGAAACACCGTTATATATTGATTAACAAAATTGATGTTTCTTAAGGGTGGAAAATGAGAAAAATCTGTTTTAATTACCATCAAAGTGATGATCGCAAAACAATGTAAAAGTTGAAAATGAAGGCAAATTGGGTAGTAACGATAGGACAACGAAAAATCAATAAATAAAAAATTACACCCCAAATCATATTGGACCATTGACTTATATCTGTTCTTTGAGATGCCTTATTGTTCAATCCAAAAGCAAAGAAAGCAAAAGAACTAGCCCTGTTCTGGATTAAAAAATAAACAAATAAATCTTACCATCAAGCACTTTGAACAGTTTACACTTTCCCCCTCATGAATTGTTGAAACGAGATACTGATACTCACATGTACATAATAAAATGCAATTAAGATTATTATGTTCTAAAAACATATATGTTTACTGTCCTTGACTGCATATCGTATTCATCCGTAAATGACAAGCCATTCTTTTTGGGTAAAGAATGACAAGCCATTTTTTGCCGTTCAATGTTTATTTGCTTAGTTCTTTTGTATATATGTTAGATTTTACCCTCTAAATCCATGTTTCTTCTTTCACTTGCTAAGTTTTGTTTCATAATTGGAAAAAGGAAGTAGAGGAAAATAAAACTTTGCACATCCAATCTGCTACTCTATGGCGTTAACTATCGTATATACTCCGTCTAGAACTTAAACTCCAATAAATGATGATATGGTATTTGCATGATAATAAACAAATCTTTAGTGGGGAATGCTCCAGGCATGATGGTCTCTATTTAAGTTACTAAAGTATGAAGCATCACAAAGAGAAACAATACAACAGAGTTTGCAAGCTACTAAAGACATCCAGAGCTTAAAGACACCCAATACATTTTGCATTTTGAAAAGGTATAATAATTAACATATACAACTTGAAACACCCATTCCTTACAAAAAGACAGCATGCAAAACATGAATCAATGAAGAGGAGACAGGAGATTAAGAATATATGGACCAAGGAGCTATTTATAAGATAATCAACCTTTAAAGTTTGAAACACCGGTTTCTAACAAAAAAACAGCGTGCAAAACAAACCAAAAATATAAGGATGACATTTTCAGCTATATTTATTCAAGAAAAGAAGCTAGAAGGATACTCAAACACAGAAGCAAAAGATGGTTTAAATGATTCGAGAATGATATTTCCAATACAACAATTTTAACCTGAAGTTCCGACAACTGATCAACATATTCTTGAGCAAGAATGTCAACCCTTGTAGAGAATTGCTGGCCAATTTTGATGAACGTAGGACCTAATCTCAAAATACTTTCCTTTAACCACTTGGCAAGGGCTTTCCGCCTCTGCACTTTCTTCGCCTCCGTCATTCCACCTGTGAATTAACATCCTCTAAATCAGATATAAATACAATTAGGGTATCCACAGTGATAGCACTTCTATGAATCATTCTCTAAGAAAAGGGGGGAAAATATCCGAGATGTATGAGAAGCAATCAGTTATTGGAGACCAACAGTCCTAAAATATGTACAAAAGTAATAAAGTTGATAAATAATCCATGCAGCATTTGTCACATACGTCTGCCTATATAATTCACTTGAGTCATAACAGTGTCAAATGATAAATTCAAAGTATTTATTGTACACCAACAGTCTCAAAATATATGCAAAATACAAAGTAGATAAATAAATTCATAAAGCAAATGTCATCTATGCCTACTTATACAATTCGTCTGTCAAAACAGTGTCCAATGAAAAAATTAAACTGAAAAGGATGTGGATATAGTGATGCGGGCAAGAAAAATATGAAAATTTGCCAACACAGCATAGAGATTTTAAAAAAAAAAAAACAAAAAACTTATTATTTATAACAATAATATGGGATAGGAACAGATAGCCTTTGCAGCCAGTAAGAGAGATTTATGTCAAGCTTTTCTACTAGTATAATAACAGAAAACAATTACAATAATGCAAAGCGGAAAAGAGAAAAGGAACAAATTAGAAATTCCATATAATTTCACTTGTGTTTTGAGTCATGTAACAATGTTCAGTCAACTTTCGGCTTGAATTAGGACTTATTTTATGTTTATTATTTTGTTAGCATACTATTGTTGTAGTTTTATCCATGCTAGCTTAAGTTCCATTAGGTGAAAATAGTTTAGGAACTCATGTTGGTAGGAAAAGCAATTGAAATTAATTCAGATTGCTACAGTCCTTAATTGTTTCAGCTTTTCATTCCAAAGCCCTGATTTCACAACTCTAGCCCTTCCTCCTACATTTTTGGCCTCCACTTCAACATTTCAATCCCATAATTAGAGGGTTTCCATATATTACAACAATCAAAAGTCTGAAGTTCCGGCAACTTAAGACCATCAAAATGAAGCCAACTCTAGCCCTTTTGCAATACACAAAACTTACAACCTTTCTTCTACCATTTTAGAACTTAATTCACAAGTTTTCCACGACCTAAGCCTGCCATGAAGCATTTGTTGGCAGCAATGTTTACTTCTCAAGTTGTTGTCCTACACGCATTTGTATCAGATCAAATAGCTGAATGTTTATTTGAACTTGTCCAACCTTATAGGCTTCTGCAAAGTTTGGCTAATAATACTAAAAATAACTGAAACAATAACAAAGATAATAATCAGTCACATATGGAAAACAGTTATATTCCACAAATTAGAAATAACAAAAAATGATTAGGAAATCAATTTTTTTACCTTTCAGATTTTATTTGATTTTTTTATTTAACCTCCCTCATGGCTCATTGTTATAACAGCTTTTTCATAGGCGTAAAGTAGCTACATTTAGAAAAATTAACTGACAACATGGCCCTCTCTCAACACCAAGATCACTAAGTTCTGTTCTGAGGAATCGGTGAACCATCTGCTTTTGCATTGCCTGGTGGCTAGGGATGGTTGGGGCTTGTTTCTGGCCTTACTATGTTTTGCTTGTGTTATACTGTTATCTGCGGAGAGTATGCTCAGAGCTTGGAGAGTAAGCGTGGAGATTGGAGAGCATGTATAGTGGGGAGTCATGCCCGAGATGCTTGGAGGATTGCTCCTCTTTGCTTGTGGTGGCGTCTATGGGATGAGAGAAATAGGAGATCTTTTGAAGGGGAGGAAACTCCAATATAGGCACTCAAATTCTCTATCCTTAGTTGTTTATTTTTTTTTAGTTAATGGTTGAAACTCTGGAAGATATTTTGTGGATGGCTTGAGGGTATAGCTTTTAGTTAATGGTTGAAACTCAAATTCTCTATCCCCTTTTGAGCACCTTTTATACAATCATTACTTATCCAAAAAATATATATATTCGGTTTTGCTACCCGAACTTCCCCATCAGTCCATCAGCTTCTCACCAGCCACTTTCCAAAAGGAACATCTTATATTAGAGTCCTTCAGAAACTTGAGAAAAAAGTGTGCAGCCACATAATACAGAAAGAGCAAGAGAAACGACCAGCTTGCAATTGACCAACAAGATGCTAATCAGAAAAGAAAAAACTCCTAAACTAGAATCTAAGCTTTACAAACATTATAGAAGCCATGTTACATGGACTTGGGTACAGGTGTCAGACACGGATGTGTATCCATGAGTCGGATGTGTCAAATCTCCAAACAGAAGGATACATGGACATGGCTAAATATTCATTTTATTAATTATTTTATTTTATTTTCTAGAGTAAAGTAATATTTTTATCTAATATAATGTTCAATATAGGCATTTAACTCATTTTAAAGTAATACTATAATGTAGTTGAATGATTAGCTATGCTTTTTAAGTACACGTCCAACCAAAAGTGCCGGACACATATCCCATACCTATGTCCGAGGGATCTGTGTCCGACACGGGTACTTCACTACTTTTGAAAAGTCCATGTAACAGAGTTAATAGAAGTACACAAACTTTTAACATATGTAGAAATTCAAAACCAATTAGTCAGGTTTGAAGGCATATCCGACCAAAGGGTAAATTATCAAAGCAATCTGTTAGCTGTCAAACCAACCATTCAGGGGAAATGGCTCGAGCCAGATCAAGATCTTCACCACATTTTCTAGAGCCCTACCCTTTTTGGGCCAGTTTGGTTTACAAAATCTGACAAGTTCTAAGATGAATTAGTTTCCATTTCGTTCCTCGAAATTCTTAGCTTTGTGATCTTGGCTTCATAAAAGCAACAAAAAGAAAAAATATCAATGAAGCTCCACGATTTTTCCATCATACATGTTACCACGCCTGAATTCCCTTCATTCTCAACAGGATAGGAACAGGAAACAACCATGTTTACCTTTGTAATTGCTCTGGCGTGCAGACAGTTTTCTCCAACTAAGGTCCACCTAAAGCCAATGATGTATTCATGACACTGGTGATAAGCAATACTACCTTTTCCTCTAATAAGATGTAAACACTAATTCAAATGGTTATTTATAGTTGTCTTAAGTTTCACAAAGCAATATCACTATAATACCAAACTGACCGTGTTACTAAAATGCATTGCCAACTTTATTCTCATGGAATTAGTTGAATGGGACTCTTCCGAAAATTTGACGTACCAGTGTTTGACAAATCACACCTATGGGTAAGCGATATGTGTCCGAAGTGTTTGGTTGGGCATTCATGAAGTATGAGCATGGCTACAAACAAGGACACGACAAGACACAAACACTGATTCAAGAGATTCTTAAGAAATAAGATTCGGATACGGATATGAATTTGGCAAGGACGTGTCAATATAAATGCTTATATGTAATGCAGATATGCATCAAAATGAAGATATATAAGTATCTATATATAAATTTAAAAAATTGTTCGTATGGTATATAACATTCCCCTTTTTAAAAATTATCACAAACAAACCGAGAATTATATTAAGAAACTCTAAGTATTTGGAACTCTTGTTAAACCCACCCTTGGGGCACCAAAGCATGTCGGGAATAAAGGGGGGCATACTGGATGTAACCACTCCCTGGGGACTGCGCGACACAGGCTATTGCCCGATACAAAGTTGACAAGGATGATCACTTTTTGGTATTTTTCATTTCTTCAGACAATATGATGGGTCAATCATTTGCTACATTGGTTGAGGTTTGAAAGTCGTTCAGTAAGATGACGGTAGGTATGTTTGATTTTGGGAGGATTTATGGTGCAGTGACCAGCTGTTATCTTGCACATTTCCAAGTTTGTACAGCATTGCCGCCGACAAACATGCAAGCATAGTTGACTGTTATTGGCCTGATAGTAGTGGGATTACGTGGGACGTGAGCTTTCGGTATTCTTTTCAGGATTGGGAGATGGACGAGGTATGTATTCTTCTGGATATGTTGTATAAGCAGGAGGCAGTTGGCAGAGGTAGTGATGATATTAGGTGGATCCCCTCTTCTCATGGTCGATTTGAAGTACGATCCATGTTTCAATGCCTCTCCAACTTCGTTGGCATTGATTTTCCATGGAAGACCATATGGCGTTCTACTGCTCCACCTAGAGTGGCATTCTTTGTATGAACTGCTGTTTAGGGCAAGATCTTGACGATTGACAATTTGAGGAAGAGAGGCAACTGTATTGTTAATTGATGTTGCCTTTGCAAACAAGATGGTGAATCAGTGGATCATATCCTCCTGCATTGCCATGTGGCGTACAACTATTGGAACCTTATATTTGGCTTGTTTGGTATGTCTTGGGTGATGCCTCGATCTTCTAAGGGTCTGATTAACGCATGGAGGGGTTGTCGGGTGAGGAGTAGCGTGCGCAACTATTGGACGACAGTTTCGCATTCTGTTTGGTGGTGCATTTGTAAGGAGAGGAATTGCAGAATGTTCGAATGGAAGGAATTGTCCATGGTGACGCTGAAACTTCATATTATTCGCTCCATTTGTAGTTACGTGAAGAGGAGTTCCGATGACTTAGTTAATTTTTTGGATTCTTTGGGTCCTTAGATCCCAATTCCACTTTTGTTTAAGGGACGTGTTCCCCTTTTAAACGTTTTTTAATCGATTATTATTTTTTATCAAAAAAAAAAAGATTCGAAGTGTTAAAAGAACACACTATGAAATAAAAGAATGGTGTTCAAAGAATATTCCATGTTCGTGTGTCCTTTGATCAAGTGTTTCATTATCTGATGCTGAGACATATACCCAACGCAACACAAGTTCACAAGGCTGTAAAACATAACATATAAGTACTAACCTTTGTAAGAGAATTTCTGATTGTTGAACCAAACCTTAAAGATAAAAGTGAGAACAAATCCCCATATTTCCAAAGTCCTTTGTATTGTCGAATAAGTTTTGAATCTACTCCAACGACCCCCAGGGGCAACAGAGACCTGAAAAAGTTACACAGTATGGTACTTATCAAAAACAAAACAAAAAAAGTTACACAGTATGGCACTATGGCATATATATTTAATAACACATATAATCACATAAACACATCTACATGTATGTATTAACACAAACACAATCACTTAGTCATGTTCTTAAATGATTTGTTTATCTGTTCCCTTCTCTTCTTTTTCTTCTTTGTTTTTTTTCTTTTTTTGTGGTTGTTAATTTTGTTTTTGGGTGGGGGATGAGGATGTGGAGAAGACGACTATACACTTGTAGCCAATTGTCCCAGCGAATGGCATACAAGCAGCCTATTATCTCAACTAATCCGAATCCGACATTCACAGTAGAAAGGCCTTAATCCTGTTTAACCTTGTTCCCGAGTGTTTCCTTTCTTGCTGGCTATTAACTGTTGTTTATCATCTAAGGTCCCATCCATTACCCTAATGTGGATTCCATGTTGTCCCACAATTTCCACCAGCTTTATAATCTTTCCAATTAATTGAAGTTATCATTACTCTCAACTTGCCAAGCACGTATTTATGATAACGGGTTCCAGCATAAACTCATTATAAGCTTATGAAAATTTCTGCAAATCATAGTTACTTCAGTTGAATCTATATAACTACATGAAGTGTAAAAGCTCAAAGGCAACTCATAGTTTGGTAGTGTTCCTCCTCTAAATTCTTAGCATTAATTGATTGGCACAATAATCATTTTAAATTTACAATAGTGTCCAAGCTGTGGTACTTCATAAAGATGTTCTCAGCAGTGTATCTAGAATGAATCCCATCAATAATTCCACAAGCAACACCTCACTTCCACATCAACACCATCAGCTCAATTCCTTTCCAAATATGCTCTTACTCAGATACTTTTCTCTAAGACTCCAGCACAGACCTAGTTGTTATAGAAAAAGCAAAACATATGTAATTACATTTAAAGCCCAAATTACAATACCAATAAAACCCTTTTGCTATGTTTGGAGCACCAAATCCGAGTCTTGGATTTGGGATTGGAGGAAATTTAATTCAAAGCTAATACTAAATTTCCTTCAATTCCAAAATCCAAAGAACCGATTTGGTGCTCCCAAATTCAACATTTGTATATTCTCACATATTATTTGTTTTTCAACCAACTAATTAATTTCAACGACACAAGATATAAAATTAAGTAAACTCTAATTAAATAAACAAGCTCAAAAAGAGAAACTTACCTCAACCTGATCTTGTCCACGTTTCTTAAACCAAGCGTCCTCTTGACCAATCTCTTCAATAGTTTTCTTCCTCCCAACCTCCTCCGACTTCGATTCCACAACTCCACCATCAATTCCCAATGCAACGCCATTTCCATTAACGTACTTCACTAAGCTTCCATTGGTCGCCCCATTCTCACTCTCCACCACACCAACACTACCATTGGTATACCTCTCAACCGTCCCACTATAACCATTCCCACTCAATTCAACACCATTCACTTCACCGATCAGCTCACTCTGTCTCTCCTCAACCACAATTTCCTCTTTCTGGACAGCTCTGGTTCTGGTCCGAAGCGAGAGATCGAGTTTGGTGTGAGAGTTGATTCTCGAGACAGAGAATCCAGAGAGAGAAATTCGGAGTTTGCGATTGGTGTCCGGGCGGAGAAAGGCAAGTTCAGGTAAGGAAGAGAGAGAAACAGATGCCATTTTTGTGTAGTTTTTGAATAAATAAATCAAACCCTACACCTAAATTTCATGGCGCTTCCCAGAGAGAAAGGGGGTGGTTTATGTTGGTGGATGTTTGGAGGAGTTAAGGAGTGGAAGAGACTGACCGACTGAGTAGAGAGAGACAGACCAAGGGAGAGAGAGTGTTGAAGGAAAATAAATAAATAAAAGAAATAAACGGAAGTGGGTGGTGATGGGGATGCCACGTGGCGAAAAGGGCGATGAGTTTTTGAAGATTTCGGCCTTCTGATTGGTTGAGAGAAAGCTCGGGAGTTGTTCTGCGCCACAAAGCTGTTTGAAGCAGAACAACTCACATTTGAACAACTCACATTGGTGCGATGTGTTTGCTGCCTGAAGCTGTTCATTTTGAATTTTTTTTCTTTTTAATACTAAGTTTTAAGCTTACCTGTCAACGCACATTTGCAAATATGGTGAGTAACTAATGCTCCGCGTATATTTTGAAAAAATGCTAGCTTCCTCCCAAATCCCGACATCCTTTCGAGTCCTGTTACAGACATTAGCACCTTTAATTTTTAATCTAACACTTTTATTTTGACAAAAAAAAAAAAATTTGAAAATATAATATTTTCCCTGTTTTTTAATTAAAAAGTAAATATTATTACTAATTTAACCTTCTTCAGTTAAATTTATAAAAGTAAATATAATAAAAAAAAGTACTAAAAGTTTAAAACTCATTCTATTAAATAGATAGATCCCACCAACGGCTAATGACTTAGTGGTATCAAATCCTTACTTTCCAAAAGGAAATCAAGGGTTTAAATTTCAGTGGAAGCATGTCAGTGAGTACCAACTATAAAAAAATAAAATAAAATAGATCCCTGAAAATAAATAATTATTTTAAGACAGCGAGATTAATCTAATGCTGTGTTCGGTAGAAAAGAAAAAAAAAAATGAATGGAAAAGAGAGAAAAAGGGATAGATAAAACATCTCTAAGGAAGAGATTGTGTATTTTTTTTTTTTTTTTTTTTTTTTTGTTCTATTAGATAGAAGAGAAGAGCAGAAACTAATAATTTATTATCTTCGTTAAAAGAGAAGGAAAGACAAAGTTTTAATTATTTTTACCATTATATCTAATAATATTTATAATATTATAATCTATAGAGGATAGAATTATAATTAAAAATTTGTTTAATTTAGGATAGTATTTAATTTAAAACTTCTATAATAGTCCACTTGTCTTCCCTCCTTTCTTCCGCCCAAAAATAAGCAGATGAAAATTTGTAAAGGATGAAGGACGTGTCTTCCTTCTTAATTTCATTTCTTTCCTTGTATCAACTCTATCGAACAAAAGTTCGTTCATTCCTTCTTATTTTCTCTCCACACCCCTTCCTTCCTCCTACCGAATATAGCATAAAGGATTAATAACTGTAATTTGTTCATAGTTTGATTTTTTTTTTTTTTTTTTTTTTTTTTGGCTTTTGGCTTTTGGCTTTTGGCAAAATTACCACACAATTAATGAAGTCAATCACAAAAGTCGAAAAAATAAGCAGAGATTAATAACCATAAAACAGAGATGCCCCTAGAATCTCTCTCTGTGGTTTTACCACCAATAGTCAGTGTTATTTAGCTCTAGTGTTTTTAGAATTACCCAAAAATCCCCATTACATTGGTTTACGTTAATAAATATAATCATTCTCGTAGTGATCAATTCTAATTTGTTTTCATATAATTGTGAGATGAATTCGATTAAAATATATATTGCTTTTGAACATGTATGGTGTAATACCCCTAATTTTAAAAGGATAGTTTTAGTATTTATTTAACTGTTTTAATTGTAATTTTATTTAATTACTTGATTATTTGGCTATTTAATTACATGTTTAATTGAATTTGTAATTAAATTTTTTATTTGAATTAAATGATTAGTTGAAAATATATGCTTAAATGTTTTAATTGAAATGATTGATTTAATTGATGTGTTATTTATTTGTAATTAATTGTAGATTAAATAATTAAATGTTTATTTTGTTTTATTTTATTTTATTTTTAGTTTATGAATGTAGTTAGTAGTAATAAACCAACCAATTAGGCTCCATGAACTACTTGGATAGGAAGTTTAATGAGTACAGATAATTACCCATGGATAGTTGTATATGTATGTATGTATGTGTATATATATATATATAAGGAAAGTATTTATTAATTAATATTATGGTAATATCAGTATTAATGAATAATCTGATGTATAAGTATATATTTATATAGTAAGAATATACATAGATTATATACGTAACATATTTTAGTTATCTTTTTAATATTTTTATCTTTTTTTTTTTTTTTTATTAAGTTGACTTGGATTCGGAAAAGGAGTAGGGTTATTATTTAGCCTATAAATATATAACTATATGGTTGAAAATGGAGACTAGAAGTATATATCACGTAATATATTTTAGAGACAGAGAGAAAGAAAGAAGGAAGAGAAAGATGAAGAAGGAGGCTAGGGTTTGTATCAAATCCCTAAAGGTAAGTTCTTGTTCTACACTTCTCCCTTGGATCTGTGAACTATATATCTCTAGTATAATTTTAGGGTTGTTTAAAGAAACATTTAAAACTGGAATTATACTTTAATCGATCTAGAACATAGGTTTTATAAATTATGTTCATGGTTGTTCTTGTTGTGTGAATTGATAAATTCATGAATTAGATTTGATTTCTTTGTGGATTTTTACATGTTATAATGATGTAATTTCATGTTTATGTATTGATGAGACTTAGAAACATGCCTTAGAACCCTTAAACAGTAAAGAATGGATTTACAGTAGGATTTCTAAGCTGATTCAGGTAACATTGCTCGATCTGCTGTTACAATGCTCAAGCCTTGGAAGCAAAGCTCGAATCATAGGTAAAAAGCTCGAGCTATGGATGCAAAGCTCGAGCTATTGATGTAAAGCTCGAGCCATGGACAGAAAGCTTGAGCTATTGATGAAATGCTCGAGCCATGGATAGAAAGTTCGAACTATTAGGATGAAAGCTCAAGCTTTACCTGGGGAATTTTCGTAAATAGCGTTAAATTAATCTTAATTGATTTTGAGGAGTCCTAAATATTAAATAAGGACTAGGTATGAGTTTAAATAAATTTTAAACAGACTTGATTATAACGATGCATGCTACTGGAATGTTTTAAAGAATGAATGGATTTAATCTTTTTAATTTGTTCTAGCAATTGAGATTAAATTTTCAGCATGAATTGTAATTGGAGAATGTTTACTTAACTGTAAAATAAAATATCAGCATGTTTAAGATTCGGTTTGTGTAAGATACATGATGTAGGAAGCTTAAAGAAATTATAAGTCATTCTTAATTTGTGAAAGCATGATATTCTATTATTATGCTAATTTCTGGAATATTTGATGTATTATTTTAGTTACATCAATTATTGGATTGTGATGATGCAAGATTCTGTCACGACCCGTCGTAACATGCAGGAAGAGAAAGAGTTGTTGGAAAGGCACGGGTACGCCGGTACGGTACCGGCCCAAGAGTCTCCGACGGTTAAGTTAGTACAAGACTAGGAAGATAAATGGACTCTGTTAGGGATATTTTTTGCGTACCTTTTGAATTGGCTGACTACCCTTTGTATAGGATAGGTTATAGTATTTGATAAGGGAATTAATTTCCTTATTCTAGTGCAATACAGATCTGAAGAACTCATCCTTATCCATATCGCTTCATAATTGTAGCTTATTTGACTTCTTGGCTTCCATGTCTGTTAGAACACGTGTATTCGTGTTGGATTGTAGAGACCATATCATCAGTTGCCCCCCATTCTCATATTTGGATCTCAAACTAAGAGAATGTAAGGTGTTTGGTTCCCTGTAAGATTAGTAGAATATATATATATATATATATATATATATATATTTACTTTATATATTTATATTATTGGGGCTTTCATGGCAAATGCAGGGGACCTCTTCGTCAAAGGTAGCAAGGGCTTTTTTGTCAAAATGTAGCAAATGACCTCTTTGTCAAAAAGTTACAAGGGGCCCTTTTGTCAAAAAGTTACAAGGGGCCCTCTTGTCAAAAAGTTACAAAGAACCCCCTTGTCAAAGAGCTACAAGGAACCCCCTTGTCAAAAAGTTACAAAGAATCCCCTTGTTAAAAAGTTATAAGGGACCTCCTTGTCAAAAAGTTGCAAGGAACCCCCTTGTCAAAAAGTTACAAGGAACCCACTTTTCCTTTACAATGTAGGGGCCTCCTGTGTAGGCCTTGCACTGTTGCCACTTGTTTGTAATTGTCAAAAGAAAAATGCAGGGGACCCTGTTAAACAACGTATGCGCCTCCTATGTAGGCTTTGCATTGTTGCCACTTATTTGTAATTGCCAAGTAATGTAAGGGATCCCCTGTAGGGGACTCCATTTGGCGGGCAACTAGAGGAGGGGGCCTCGGGCCTCGCATTCTCAATTTCACAAGTGCCCATTTTTCAATGGCTACTTTTATAATTGTTGCAGTAGATTAAACTCTTCTCTGCCTATTTAAGTTGTTTGTTTAATTGTGTGAAGTTTCTTGTAAATTATTGGTTAGTTTTAAATGATTAATTGTTTTATTATTATTTTAATTTTAATTTAAAAAGGAGTTAGATTTGGATAGTAGTAGTGAACCAAATAAATGGGTCACATAGACTACTTGGATGGACCTTTATGGGTAGGGGTTATAACCCATGGGTATTGGAGGTGATTATTATTATTATTCTAATTAATAATGATAAGGAGGATTCAGTTTTATATATATATATATATATATATATATATATATATATATATATATATTTATATAACTATATTATATTTATAAATGTTTATATTTATATGTAAATACGTAATATCACATGGTAGTATTAGTATTACTATATAGTAGTATTATTTGTTTATCTTTTTCTTTATAAGCCGACCTGTTTTACGTATAGGATTAGGGTTATATCTTATTGCCTATATATATATATATATTTAAGTTTGTAGAGAAGGAGGCTAGGTTTACACGTGAGTTGTATTATACCTAGAGAAAGAGAAGTAATAAAGAGGAGATAAGAGAAACCGTGAGACAAGAGAGAGGGTTTGGGCCAAATAATTAGGCCAGACCAAGGAGGAAGGTTGAGGGCTGTTCGAGGGTTAGAATCAGA